ACTGTCTGGCCTCCGCACAGTGGAGCAAAAGCATTTACCTCGCATACAATCCATAAAGTCTCATTTTTCTCCTCGGTCATTCAGCTAGAAGAACCAAAATCGTCCTTGGCAGTCACAAAAATAAAGACCTTCACAATTTCAATACTGAGCTCAAGAACCAATATATTGTGTATCCCTGTCTGTGGTCATCCTCTTGTTTCTGATGCACCATTGAAAGCATTTACAAGTAGTTATATGTGATTTGAATACATCATTAGTGCCACAACACTACACAATTCATAGAAAATGAAGTCCTTCAATGGAAATGCGCTCCCTTCCAATAGTACAAGAAGGTTCTTTTTGCATCTTTAAGAAGCACAAGCAAGCAAATGTAAAATCAGCCTCCTCCAGTGCTGTGAATTTCATCCTCAACTTTATCCAAAGTCCACACTGAGACATCCATTTCCAAGTGTCAGTCAGTAGGCTTTTGTCTCTCCCACACTCTTCCTCTCTCCCATGTTTTGTGCCGAACTATTGGTGCCAAAGCCAGCCTAGGACGACAAGAACACAGGAGGAAGGCTGCCATCTCCAGAAGGAGAGTCAGATGGCAGCGGGGATTCTTTGTCTCCTTCCTTTCTCTCATCTCCTCCTCTTTTGGTTCAGGCTGATGTCCTCGCACTCTGATTCCACCCACAGCAAATGCAAATCAACACACTTGGTAATTTCTGTGAAAAGGGGAAGTCACAGCCGTTTGTATGTATGTGTTGCATGTGACGGCCTGCGCTCAGCCGCGTGCATAAAGAGATTGCTCACCTGCAATCTCCTTAAACAGTGCATGATAACCAGTTTTGCTGAGCATGGGGATCTGGCACAGAGTGCACGGGTTATTAACAGGGCTCGAGGTTGTCCAAGATCTGACAGCTGCAGCTCTGAGGATGCTTTGCTACTGTGTGATTCGGACACAGCCCCCAGCCTCCTGTGGATTACAGCTCTAAAAGCCCAGAGGACTGAGCAATACAAAATGTGCAGCCTCTCTAATTAGAGAATCCCACTAACTCTGAGGCAAGTTGACCTCACCTGTGTGTTTCCCAAACACTGCATATTAGCTGAAGCAGAAGAGACCTCGCTCGATTTTTCAGCTAAAAACCCTTTTGTGTGGTGCACTGGGGAGCACAGTGCTATAAAGCATTGCTTCTGCAAATGAAGCAGTCATTTGGAAACTGTGGCAAATGCCCCCTCTCAGACAAAAAGGGGGTAGGAGGGGGGGTCGGCTCAGTGTGCTCCAACACCAGCACACACTCATACTCTCATAAAACCAGGCAATAAAGCTGCTATCCTCTTGAGAGTTGATGTACGGTGCCTGAAAGAGAGCTACTGAGAGCCATATTAAAGGCTTTATTACCAGTGTCAGATTCAAATTAGTGGTGGTGTGCCACAGCCTACTGAGTGCATGTGCGGGCGTGTGTGTGCGTGTGTGCGTGTGCAGATTCAGCCTGACTAGGCAGGTTTTCTAGCCCAAGTCACACACGGCTGACTGAGAACGCTCAACCTCAACATTAAGTTGAGCAATAACATTTGGAAGATATCCATTTAGAGCCGGGCCTCCAGATGAGTGAGCAAGTTAAAACAAGAAGTCAGAGGCACAACAGGTGAATTAGATTGAATCCCACGGGGGAGACGGGAATGGGGAGAACAGCGTGATGCTTTATTAAAGGAGCATAATGGCATAAGTTTTTGCCTCGTCTGACAGTGTTTCTGTACTGTTGCTGAGGTAGCTCTGGCTGTCAGTATACCATATCAGGTTATGTGTGGACTCAAAAAAAAGCTTTCTATGCAGTTGCACAGGCCGACGTGCAGTCCAGTTTAGATTTAGCTTCTGCTCCTTTACAGAGCAAACAAAAGCAATGGAAGTGATTAAGTCTAAAGGGATATCTTCAGCGTTTCCCCTTGTCTCTAAGTGCCCAATGCCGGGAGCGTATCTATGTTCCCAGGGTTCTATGTTCCCCACTTAACCCTGCAAAAAAGGTTCTATGTTCCCCGCTTACACAAAAAAGGTTCTATGCTTCCCGGGTTCTATGTTGCCCGCTCAACCAAGCGGGAAACATAGAACCCTTTTTGTGTCAGCGGGGAACATAGAAGCTTTTTTGCAGGGTTAAGTGGGGAACATAGAACCTGGGAAACATAGGGATGACCCCCCCCAATGCCCTGCATGTTCTGGATCTCTCCCTGCTCCTACACAGCTGATTCAAATGATCAACTCATTATGGAGTCCTGAAGCTGCTTGATAACAAGCTGGTCATTTAAATCAGCTGTGCAGGAGCAGGGAGAGATCTAAAACACGGAGGACATGGGGTACCCCAGGCGAGTTTTGGGTGTTGATCCAGAACAGAGATCTCAACTGTCATCAAACATTTCTGCCACATGTCTTTAAAACAGTGGGAACCCACACAAGCCACTCATTTCAGATTCAGCGGGTGGACTGATTTGAGCCGTGGCAAATGTGAAGTCATCACGCGCCACAGGATAGGAGGGCAACAAAAATCAATAAGACCAGTCAGAGCTTTTAAAGCTTTTTCAATCAGCACTTTTGCAACTCGCACTTAAATTTACTCATTTGTCTCACGATTTATTGCATCAGCAACGAGTGCGACAGAAGGAAAGTTTGGTTGGAACAAACATGCGCACAGTCTGGTCAAACAGAGACTCCCTGACTGTGTCGTGCAAATGCAAGCTGATTTAAATAGCAAGAGAAACCGGATTGTCGTTGCATATAATCTAGGCATGTGTGGCAATTACAGAACAGGGAATATGCAACGCCGATTTCCTTCTACAGGAATTACATTTGTGCGTAAAACTTGGGAGCTGTGAAACCTGTGGTCATCCTGTTGGTTAATCGGGCAACCCCAAACATTTCCCCCTTATCCCTCCAGCATAAGCTTGACTCTGAGCAAAGCACTCCGCAAACTAAGACATCACTTTCAGAGGATGCAACAGAATCCACCGAGACATGTCAGCCTAGCGGGAGTTAGAGCAGGACACGAGAGGGGGGGTTTCCACGCTGGTGTGAAAAAAATAAATAAATAAATAAAAACACCGATGACCAGTTCACCAGTAGCTGATATTACATCACATGCTGCTCGTAGCTCCAGCACAGAGAGCGGCTCCAAACTGCATCCAAACTTGCAGACAGTGACAGCGGGAGAAGGAGGAAGAAAAAAAAAACCTTGTTCACTCACCCGTGCTGGCAAAGCAGTAGAGAAGAAGCAGCAGCAGCAGCCAGGAAATCATTGTTACAGACGTCTTCTTGTTGCGAGATGCTCAGACAGAATTAACAGTTGGGATGCAAAGAGTGTGTGGAGTTGCCACACTGTAGCGTGTCCCCCCCCTCTCAGCTGCAGCCTGGGTCTTCTTGTTCCTCCTTTTCTTTCTCTTCAAGTCTTGAGTGCGTCTCTGTTTTTTTTTTTTTTTTTTTTTGCTCTCCTCCTCTCCGTTCACGCTGCGTGCATCAGGGCTTGCTTTACTACTCTGGCTCCCATGCTTGGGCTACTCGCTCTGACTCTGCGCGCTTGTTCACTGGCTCCCTCTCTCCTCCCTGCATCTCTCCCTGCCTCTCTCTACGGTACAGTCAGTGAGGAAAGTGCTTAAGAGGCTGGCTCCTCCCTCTCTCCGCCTGCTCATCTGCCTCTCTGCCATTTAGACAGTCTAGACCGAGGCAAAAAAAAAAAAAAAAATCTCCTGGATGATCTGCCATGCATTATCATTTAATGGGACAGTAACATAATGTTTAGCACTTTGTACAAATGGACAATAAAATATTTATTGTATTTGTTGACATTGAGAATGGAAATTCAAGCAAGGCGAAGGGCAATATCAGCACACAAAGAAATAAAATTATGAAGAGCTTTAAAAGCATGCAGCTTTGTCATTTGTGGCTCTTGGTGTGTTTTGGTGTTATTTGTTTCCCCTTGGACTGCAGGCGGCAAAACAAATTGTCTCACAAGGACATTAAAGATTTATTGTGTTCTACATGTTTTTTATGTCGATTTAGCAGCAGCCGATAGGAACCTGCCTCAGGTGCCCAAGGCTAAGATCATTCAATACATACAGGGGGTAAAAGCTCTGTGAAATAGCTTGATGTCAGACCTTCCCATGCCTTGAAGGTGATCAGCAGAATCTTCAAATCAATTCTGACACATTCCACGAGGCAGGTGAGTGTCAGAGTTAATATGGAGCCATGTCATACGGTGGTTTCATTTCCGCTCACCTTCTGAGCTTCGAGATAGACGTGGCGAGCTGCTAAACACTTTTGCCACTGTGCTTTCTGTAAGTGAACCAAACAACCCCGTCTCCTACAAACTTCCTAAGTAAAGTAAATATTTATTCATAATTTGTTTTGCCGAATATGTAATTACAGGTAACATAATTACTGCTTGGATATTGTTCACAGGCAGCATTTTATTTTAAGTACGAGAATCACTACATTTATCTGCTACACAAAAGTAATTGAGGTGAGGTCGGTCCTTGGCCTGTTGTTATCAAGTCTCAGAATTACTGTAAGCAATAGCGCTGAAGGAGCACAAAACACTCCTACCTCAGAGTGGGACTTAAAAGAGACATCTTGTGCTAACTTTCAGGTTTATGATTTTTGTGGAGGTTAATAAAACACATTATTATTCTCATACTGTCTGTTGCTGCATCACCACCTCCATCGCCCATCTCAAGTCTGCTCTGACTGATCTGCCGTCACCTTTGCCATGCCTCCAGGAACAGCAGTGGGGTTTGAAGCCAATTTGGCATATTAGCCAAACTGTGGAATTACAACTTTAGGGGGTGTCATGTGATGCCACTGGGCCCAAAAATTATTTTTCCATAGACTTACACTGTGAAAGAGACATCTGGAAATAAGTGGATCCTCGTCAGAAGACTCCGAGTGAAATGCCATGGGGGAATTGAATAGTTGACGTTTCCTGTTGCAACTTTCTCTTTGACTGTTTTTCTACGGGTTTTGACCATCCACAATCATGAAGTACACCATCGGCATCAGCAGCGTAACCAATGGAGGGAAAACCATTATCACCAACTGGCTGATCAAGAACCTGCCCAACTGTTGTGTTGTACATCAGGATGACTTTTGCAAGCCCCAATGTCAGATTGAAGTTGGTGAAGATGGCTTTAGGCAGGATGATGTCATCAGTGCTCTGGACATTGACGCCATGATGAGTATGATCTATGCATGGTTGGGCAACTCCATGAAGTTTGAGAAGTCTCTTGGCGTCAGTAACACCCTGGATACTGAGATTGTCCCAAAGTCTGACCATAAGGAGAAGGAGGAGACTCACATCCTTATTGTGGAGGGCTTTCTGCTTTATACCTATGGACCTTGACTGACGTGCTGAACCAACGTTACTTTATTTCCATTCCATATCAGGAATGCAAAAAGAGGAGGTGCTCTAGGAAGTACACGGTACCAGACCCCCCTGGTCTTGTCAATGGCCACATCTGGGCCATGTATTTTAAACACAAGAACATCTCATTGTTGGGCTACAGGCCCAACAAGACGGGGTCCAACAGTGCAACCCGGGCTCACTCCAAAGTCATCGAAATCCAGCACTTGGGCAGTCACTTGCAGTGTCAGACACTGACGAAAAAGCTGTCCTTAAACGTCAGCATGATACGTGGCCGGTCGCCGTTATAGTTTAAAGGCAAGGAAAGTCAGAGTAGGGTGGGCAGGAGAGGTGGTGGGTGTGTCCAACAAACATTGCCCTTCACCTGAGAGAGCAGGGTTCATGTCCCGTAAGATTTTAAAGTCAAACCCTGTTCACTTTTTCCAAACCTAACCACGTGTTTTTGTTGCCTAAACCCAATGGGAACTGCCCATTGGTCCGACATCCCATTGTTCCGACCATATTAAACCCATTGTTCCGAAGTCCGTTCCAAAATCATCATGATGCCCTGTGGTTAAGGTCTGGTTAGGTTTAGGCACACAAACCACTTGGTTAGGGTCAGGAAAAGATCATGGTGTGGGTTAAAATGAAAAAGAAACTGACAAACACATAAGCCGTGAGCCTGCTTCGCCTCAAGCCTTTCCCAGCTGACCCAGAGCTGGTCGCGGCGCACCATCAAGGCAGAAATACACCCTCCGGGAACCGTTCAGTACTGCGGAGAGCTCCCCACACAACCCGGACCCCAGAGTTAATAACAAGAGGTTATGGTGTTTCATTCTCTTCTCTTATGGCACTTGTATCTCGACCAGTAGCCTACTTTTGTTGCATCGCTGATCCTCTAAGGTACACAAATACAGTATAGCCTAGTATAATCACATATCGGAACAACGGGACGTCAGACTAATGGGATGTCGGACCAATGGGCTGTCGGACCAATGACATGGACCCAACCCAACTGGGTGTATTAGTTCTTGAAGGCAAAAAAACATCAATGCGTGGTATTTGCAGACATAGTGCATTTATTTTGAAAGAGACTGTATGTAAATGGCACATTTGTGTATTTTGAAAGAAGACAATGCCTGTAACAGGCATAACTTGACATGGCGTCCCAGAACGTCAAAAACCAACACATCCAAGGTACCTTTCACATCGTATCTGGACATGGAAAGTCCATGACCAAACGTCCATATGTGACGAGGTCGGTGTGAGAATGTGCAGAAGCACAGTGGAAGATAAGGGTCATTTTACAAACAGAAGTAAAACTTTTATGACTCCATGTGCCACTAAGCAACTTTGCTGTATCCAGTTTTTTTATACATCATTAGTCATTGCAGTGAGGGATTCAGTTTAACAAATTTGAACTGCACTTATATCATGAACATCACCACAATAACCGATTTTAAATCAAAAACAAGCACACATGATCCAGAATCAGAGAGAAATGTGCAACATCTGCAACCAAGGTTACATTTTTCTTTATGTTTGCCTCCAGTAAATATTGCTATTTATATGTCTCTGTCACATAAGGTCAGCTTAGCATTTATTCCCCTAATAAAGGCACAAAAGAATTCAAAGTTATAGTACAGTGATTACCATAGCAACCATCACCATGTGTTATCCTGACTTATAAGTTATGTCAGATCAGTGACAGTTACCATAACGAGGCTGTTCTTTCATGGAACAGACTCTATCCTGCAGCATGTCAACACAATTGCAGGTGGAATTACTGATCTTATAAAGTAACCAGCTTATGTACCGTAGAAACTGCTCTGGGACTAAATATCAGCAGCTGCTGCAAGGACTGCACTGTGTCCATGTTTCACACAGTAACTAAGATCTTTTTGCTTGACTAGTTTTTACTTGTCAGACAATTATTGCCATATGTATGCTGTGAAATGTTTGTCAAAGCCGCAGATGATCTGTTTGATATGCTATCAAAACACTGTAAAGTATAATTCATGTTGCCATCTGTCATCACAGTGATAAAGTTTGACTGTGACACAGAGATATGTCTCATGTTGCTTAATCACCATTTACAACCTGTAGCAAAGGCTTATGAGCAAAACTCTTTTACATTTTAATAGTCAGGATGTTAAATGAACCAAGGTTCTTTTTTTTTTCCACATCACCTGTTTAAACAGCAAAGTTACATAAAACCTTTGTGAAAGAACATTTCTCTAACACCACAGGAGCCTTACTTCTAAATTAGAAAATGCCAGAAACCCTTCCAAAAAAAAATTGCAATCTATAATGACATGGAAATATGAATTAGGTATATGTATAGCACAACGTAGCAACTTTAACTTTTATGTAAACTGTCCAGATTATGTCTAAATAGAAATTATGCTGATGTGTTGCAGAAAATAGCACTGCTTTTTATATCTAGGTTTTATGTGTACAGGCAAATAATGCTATTTACTGGTTTAAATATATGCAAAAAAAATAAAAAATTAAATTATAAACCCACCATTCAGCCTGCCAGTAAACATTGGCAAGCCATGCTTGTGGTTTGAAAAATAAATGTAGCGTATATGTAAATTAAAGTAGTTGTAATTTGACTCAGCTGCATGAAATCATCCTGTCAGTCGTATCCAACTTCCTCATTCTAACAAGGTAAAAAGGAAAATATCACACAGAAGTGATTATTCAAAGCAAAGTGTTTTTATGTCATAAAACATGTCTGGAGGGGGTCTTTAATATTTCGCATGCAAAATTCTGTCTGATGGAAAGGGACTCATTAAAATCATTAGGATTCTTCCATTAATATTCCCAGCAAAGCAAAAAGGTCACGAGGTCACAAAATCATTAGGAATCGTCATCTGGGGACCATTAATATCTATACCAGATGTCATGGATACCTTGCCCCAAGTGTTGGACAGACACACTGACTGACCTACTTATTGCTCTCCTGATGCCTCACTGCTCGCTAGTATAACGACAATGTATTATAGTGTCATTATAACTTCAGCCCAAGTAGGAAGTATGCAGGAACTCACACCAAAATCTGTTCATTTAAATACGTAACTCACTGTAACTCCTGTAACTCTAACTAGACTGTCCTGCTCCTGCTCGTGTTTGCAATGCTATAATTCATTTTTAACATTTTTTTTTGGTCTGAGAAAACGGTAACACAGTGACCCCACATTATGACCAAAATAATGATGCAAAGTCATGAAAAGACGTGGATTCAAAAGAAGTTGCTAAAACCTTAGAAATGTGCGACTGATTATTTTTTGTCTCATCACATGGATCAAGACTCACAAATAGTGCACATGTTGAAACTGAACCCTACCAGCATCCTGTCTGAGCACTGCATCTCAAAAATAAGGTCTTTCCTCTGCCGAGCTGATCTCAAGGTCATTCATGCTTTTATTTCATTTCGGTCAGAGATGTCCAAAACAAGTTTATCAGGGTTGTGTTAAAGTTATCTCATTATGATTCAGCACAACATTTAATTGGCTTCTAATTCTGAAAAAAAGAGTCTTAGAAATCAAGTAAGGACTTACCCATGAAATTGACCATAATGAGGTCCCCAAATATCTGTTCAACTACTTTCATCTCTTCAGAGACAGTGGAAACTATTCAACAAAACGGCAGTACAACAGATTATAATCTTCTAAGATTTCAGAGTTCAATGGGCAAAAATACTTTTTATATATGGCTGTTTCATTGAATGGACTGAACTTCCAGTGTCTCTGAAACACATCAAAGCAGAGAAAGCTTTGAAGCAAGCTATGAAGAAATGGGGTGGCACGGTGATGCCGTGGTTAGCATTGTCACCTCAAAGCAAGAGGGTTCCTGGTTTGAACCCAGGGTGGGTGGAGCCCTTCTGTGTGGAGTTTACCAACAGATTTTCACTCCAACCTTGTCACATATGGATGTTTGGTCATGGACTTTCCATGTCCAGATACAATGTGAAAGGTACCCTGGGTGTGTTGGTTGTTGACTTTCTGGGACGCCATGTGCCATGCTTTGTATCTGTTTTCAAAATACGCTTCCATTTTCACAGGAAATTTACCGTTTACATACAGTCTCTTTCAAAATAAATGCGCTATGTCCGTACAACACCTACAACTACAACACCACTTTTTTTTCTTTCAACAACTAATGCATGTGGTTGGGTTTAGTCAAAAAGAACAGGATTTGGCTTTATAATCTTACAGGACGGGAACACCGCTCTCCCTGATAAAGGTCGGTGTTTGTTGGGTCCATCCACCGTCCTTCCCCTTGTCCTGTTGCGTTCCCCCCTGATGCCGCCAAGCACCGTTAACTTAAATGGCGTATGGCCGCATGTCACACCAATGTTTCAGAATGGCTTTTTTCGTCAGTGTCTAATGCCGCAAGTCACTGCCCAAGCGCCGGCTTTCGACAGCTTTGGGGTGAGACTGGGTTGAGTTTGCATGTTCTCCCTGTGTCAGCGTGGGTTTCCTCCGGGTTCTCTTCTCTTCTTCCCCACAGCCCAAAAACATGCAAATTAAGCCTAGTTCACATTACACGATTTTCACCGCGATTTTGACATCGCAGAGGATCTTGAGAGCCACTTTGGGTCGGAGGTGAGTCGGCAGATAGTCTGCCACGACGAGTCCTCATGTGTGAACAAGCCTACGAGCAAGTTGCCCCCTCGTCTGCGACTGGGACTGGATATCTGGCATGCTGGAAAACTGGAGAAGTGTGATATGACTGACAAAGAGCATCAGCCAATGAGAGGTGGGATACATCCCACGATGGAAGAAATGTGAGGAGGACAAGTCGCAGGGTTGCCACTTGCCAGGTCCACTTATTAGCTGCAACTTTGGGCTTGTTTCTAAAGTGGAGTTGCTTATTTGAGCTTGCTTTCTAAACGTCACCTTCCTCTATATATATTCGTCTAATAAGTTATTTAAACTCATGATAGTATGTTGGGAGTCGCTTCTTTTGGGCTTGTTTCCATAGCCCTGGTT